TACCTTCTTAGCCATCGATATGTTTGTCTATCAAATTTAATGACATTATTGTATCCATATCATTGTATTATTCATCCTCTAAGCCTCTCCACTAAACTGCGTGTTATCTTTGACGCATCAGCTATATTTTCCAATGGTCAATCCCTCAATGATAACCTTTTAGTTGGTCCCAAGCTCCAGAAAGATATCATAAAGTTTCTCTTATCTTTCCGATGTTTTTAATTTTTCCGACAAATCATAATATCACCAGCAGATCGTGATTACCAACGTATCTTATGGTGTTTCTCTCAAACTAAGGCAATTCAAGAGTACGCGTTGAATACCTTTTTTAGCATTACGTACATTTCAAGAACTTGCGAATCTTTACGTCGATGAATGTTCAAAAGTGACTGAAGTTCTGAAAAGTAACATTTATGTTGATGACATTTTAATCTGTCGCTTCCTCGAAGAAAAGCAAGAATTTATTGTTTTATTAAAGAAAGGAGAACTTTAGCTATGAAAATGGGCAAACTATGTCAACGTTTTACTAGTCGTCTCAGAAACTAATTTACAGAAGCCGATATCAATGGATTCTGGTGAACTCAATTATGTCAAGGTATTGGGTCATCTTACAACTGATCAATTTACTTATTTCTACTCCTTCCGTAATAATTCCTGTACTAAACGTTCGATTCTATCAGAAATTGCTCACATTTACGATCCTCTTAGTTTTCTTACTCCGTGCACGTTTAAAGCAAAAACAATCATGAAAAATCCTTGACAATGTAACCACTACTTGTATTTTGCCTCGTTTAATGGTTCCAATCGACACCAAGTCCATATTCATTTATTCTGTGATGCCTCTCAACTAGGGTATTGCGCCTTACGATGTCAAACTTCAACTGATATTCAAACTTCTTTCGTCTGTGCAAAAGCAGATGTTGCTCCTTTAAAAATAATTTCGATTCCTAGACTTGAACTCTGTAGTAAAGTTCTCTTGACTGATTTATTTCAGACCATAAAAGAAGCGTTATCCCTAAACATCACTTTTGATTCAGTCTTCGTTTGGTTCTACACTCAAGTTATCCTCTCCTCATATCATCTTGTCCTAATCGTTGGAAAGTCTTTGTGGCAAACAGGGTAATACGAAATCAAGAAATTTTACCTTCCAAATATTGGAAGTTACATTCCATCGGTGGAAAATCCTGCGGATGATGCCCTTTTTCCGGCTCAATTAATGTTGACAGTTAGACAACAAACAAATCCATTAACTCTTTCACTACTCAAAATCATTTCTTTGATGATTTACTTAATTGGTTTTCATCATTATTTAAAATCAAACGTATTCTTGCGTACGTTCTTCGATTTATTCAACGAACCCAAAGAAAGAAACAATTTACCAACTTGTTGCATCACTTCATGTTTTAATCAAACATGTGCAAGTTCAGCATTTTTTCGATCTCATCCAATCACTCACTAAGAATCAAGTACCTGAAAAACCTTTTCGACAGCTTGCTCCCTTGGATAGAGATGGGTTAATCAGGGTGGGTGGTCGATTACGTAACTCCGGAATGTTATTTGATCAAAATCATCAATTATTACTACCAAAAAATTTTTACGTAGAAGAAACTCATCGCGAATTTGCACATTCTGGACATCGAACATTATCCTGCTTTCTGGTTCAACAGTATTGGATTTGTTCACCGAGAAGTGTAGTTTATCAAGTCCTAGCAAGATGTGTCAGTTGCTTTCGTGCCAAACCAAAATCCTATAGTCCAATGATGGTTGATCTTCCAAAATGTCGTGTGACACAGCTTAAACCATTCACCGTGGAGTGGATTTTTCTGGACCGATTTATACAGTGATGCATCGAACAAAGGGTGTGCGGTCTGTAAAATCATACAGACCAGATTCATGTAGAATTAGTTACAGACCTTACTACAAACGCCTTTATTGCCGCTCTCGACTAACTAACTTTATTGGAGCCAATAATAAACTCCAGGATCTTGCCAACGCTACAGGTTCAACATTTGGTATTCGTTGGCACTTCAACCCTCCATGAGCACCCCATTTTAATGGACTCGCTGATGCTGGTGTCGAATCAGTAAAAAATCATTTAATAAGAGTAATTGGGGCGCAAATACAGTGTGTTAATTAATTATCGTACCCGACGTCATCATTGCAAGTATGCAACCAATTACGCGATTTGCATATGAGGCGTATTGCACTGTGATATTGGTTGCATACTTGCAATGATGACGTTGGGTACTGTACGATGATATTTTATCATGTACAATATTTGAATTTATAAAATAAATATTTAAACAATATTTTCTACTACATTAACTTGTTATATTTTTAATTTGTTATTTTTGTAAATTATATAACAAATCATTTATTAAAACAATTTTATATGACACACTTTGTGTACGATAATTAATTAATACACTGTACTAACATTCGAAGAAGTATACACTGTGTTGACCCAAAGTGAAGCTGTGCTTAATTCCAGGTTACTTTGCTCAACATCTAGTGATCCGAACGATTTATCTCCACTGACACCTGCCCACTTTTTATGTTTAGGTCCATTAAATGCTACCTGATGCTACCATACCAGACCCAGATGTTCCAATAAATCAATTGAGCCGTTGGAACCTTTTGCAAAGAATGGTTCAAGATTTTTGGGGACGTTTGCCCATGAAGTACAACAGCGATATAAATGGAATATACCTACGCCCACTATCCAAATTGGTGACCTAGTGGTAGTTAAAGATAAACAACAAGAAAATTAAAATGTAAGCCAAGTAGTTATAACCAACTAAATATAAATAAACTAATATTGATTTGAATCTGAAACAGTATTTCTAGTTATGTTTTGATAAATTTGTTTATAATTATCAACATAAAGCTTTCAACGTGGCTTAAAATTGAAATCTGATATTTAAATTCATCGTATAATTTCATTAAATTCGATAAATCCCTTTAAATTGTCAAAAATTAATTAATGAAATAAATTTGATAATTGAGAATTGATATATCTTTGTAAAAGCGAAATGAAATTACGTAAACAGTAATTATTTGTGTGTAAATTTAAAATTGTGATTTTAATTAATTTGTTAATAAAAGCACTGATTCTTTTGTTGAATTGAATGGAATGAAATTGAATTGAATAGAGTTGGGTTGAATTCTTTTTAATTAAATGATACAATTTTTCGTACTAAATGAAGTGTATTTTTTAAAAATAATTTTTATCTCGTCTTTTTGGGCAAACGAAACCTCCCCAACCCCACAGTTAAAAGAGAGGAGAAAACGCAATTCGTCAATTCGCGTAATTTGCAGCAGCCCGTTTTATTTATACAAGGATTGCTGAATTATTTAAATGGGGAACTTCTGTCCCACCTGAACCAACCGGACTCTAATGATCAATTAAAACTTTTCTTTTTCCTTTTTTTTACTTTAAAAATTTAAAATACTCTTTGTTGATTTATAATTTTTTATAAAAAGAATTCTCGGAAAAATAATAAAAGCCGCAAGGGTGACCTGACCATCGACTGGGGGACGAAAATGAGGAAAAGTGATGATACCGAGGCGTTGTGACGGAATTTGCTGTCGCGAAGACGTGACCCTGCGACTTGGGGACGATTTTGATTGAATGAAAATTGTTCATCCCCCGTGAAATGACGTGCTCCACCCCCTTTGGGTCTCTGGATAAGAAACTTCCAACCCCAAAAACCAGACTTTTTTTTCTTTTTTTCGTTTCGTTTTCTTTATGAGCGAAAAAAGAATCGTGAAATATCTTTCAACAAAATGTTGATGGGAAATATATGTATTCAACGAATAAATTATTTCCTTAACGATTTTGATTGCAAATTAGCTGTTGAATGCTAATTTCTGGCCATAATGCTCAAAAAATAATTTAGCAACTGACCTTCGCGATATTAAAATTATAAATAAACGCATTTTTAATAAAAAGATCTTACAAGAAATTCACGCTGAAATAAAAATGAATGATTGGACTACGACAATGAGCCAAGATAATACTGAAGAGTCATATAACGTGTTATTAGGAGTTATAAATAGCTCAATTACTAAAAAGACCAACCATAAAGTAACATCATAAATACACTCAGGGGAGGTAAGACATCGACTGCTTTTGACTTTTCTGATTTCAAAGATATACATAATAATAACAAAGAAATTTTAAATAAAATAAATGTCTAGTTTGCTAATATAGCGGCTGAAAAGAATATACAAACAAATATACAGAACATTGTTAAATCGAATATAGCTATGAAAAAATCATTTGGACCCTACTTAACAGATCCCATAGAAGTAAAATCTATTACGTCTTTGAATAACACACATGTTATATTGTTTATTAGTTGAATGTGCATAGTTAGAATACAAATTTATTTATAAATGGCTTCAAAATTAGAAAAATACCAGCCATCAATTAAAACCTGGAACCGTTTTGTAAACTTCACTTTGTGGCAACTGGAATTGCCGAACCAGATCCGGAAAATTTGACGAATGCTCGTCAAAAACGTAGAGCAGAATTATTATTGGGAATGGGTATCGAATTATTTGGAAAATTGTGCGATTCAGTAGGAGGAGAAGTTTTATTAGAGAAACTTATTTTTGAAGAAATTGTATCCAAAGTGACATAGATTTCATTCTCGTACTCAATTACAAATTCTTAAAGTTGGAACGACATGCTCCGACATGCACATAAGAAGTTGAGAAGCAGATGTGAGAAGACGACACGCAAGGAAATTAGTTATAGTATAAATAAGTGAAATAAACTCTTTGAAGTGGAAATAATAATAATAATAAACTGCAGAGAAAAGAGGGTAACGCCAACATTCCTCAGAGTGAAGCACCATATCGACACCGCTGCAGCACGTAGGATCTTGGTGAAGACAGAACAGGCGCTGTTACGAGAAAGAATTCATAAAACCTTTAAAGATCTGCAGAGAATAAGTGAGAGGTTACTACGACTCCACCTCTAACTTTCCAATTCCATGGCAAGAGAAGACTGGGACAAAGTAGACAGGATAACCATAGAGAAGGCTGAACGTGATTTCCAAAGATGTCGGGATAAGCAGATTAAGAAATTCGAATCGTTGGACCGCCGCACCCACAAAAGGAAAAACAACGATTTGCCAATTGAAACAGTCGTTATCAACCGATCAAGCGTCTCATTAACAGAGGAGGAAACTAAGGTACACGCCAAAGGCTTAAATTATGCAGTCGCTCCAAAGAGGGTTCGCAAAGAAGAAATTATATGTGAAGTGGAAGCGGCTATTCACAGAATACCTGTAGTGAAACCAGAGGAAATTCGTCAAGACATAGCGAGAGTGCTTAAAACAGCAAAGCCACCAAAATCAAACTTAACAATAAACGAAAGAAGAGCACTACGAACGATAANCTCAAAAAGACGTTTCCAATTCTTTTTGAATACATAACAAATTGGCGATAAGGTAAAAAATAATACAAATTTATTTATAAATGGCTTCAAAATTAGAAAAATACCAGCCATCAATTAAAACCTGGAACCGTTTTGTAAACTTCACTTTGTGGCAACTGGAATTGCCGAACCAGATCCGGAAAATTTGACGAATGCTCGTCAAAAACGTAGAGCAGAATTATTATTGGGAATGGGTATCGAATTATTTGGAAAATTGTGCGATTCAGTAGGAGGAGAAGTTTTATTAGAGAAACTTATTTTTGAAGAAATTGTATCCAAAGTGACATAGATTTCATTCTCGTACTCAATTACAAAATGAATCAGTTCAGGAATTTATGAACAGTGTAAGAAGAATCGTTCTAACATGTAATTTTATTGGAAATGCCACTGATCCAATTGCTGCCCAGTTACGTGATCAGTTTGTTTGTGGATTACGAGATAAAGAGATGCAAAGATTATTACTTCAACAAGAAGGTTTGACAGCTGACAACGTTGTTTTGAAAGATCGTATGTTTGAGAGCAGTTGACACTGTTGAATTTTTGGGTTCAAAGTCTGGAAGTTGCGAAGTGGACACCATTAAAAAGAAAAAAACACGGAAAACAATTTTCAACAAAAGAGGAGATATTGTAAAAAAGAAGGACATGTTGAAAATAACTGTTTTCAAAAGAGAAATTGTGAGATTTGTAAAAAAGAAGGTCATACTGAAAATCGATGTTGGTTAAATCGAAATGTGAAAAATATACGATGTTATGTTCATTTTAGGAACGCGTGTCTACGGGTGGAAACGTTTTACATTGACTTTATATGGGCCAATACAAATCATGGTCCCTGGAAGTAAGCATGGTTAACTTGGACCGAGCAGATTAAGTAATTTAGATAGTTTTACATGGGAACTTTCTATAGGAATTAAAGAAATACAATTTTTGACGAAAAGTATTTAAATATTAAATTAATTCATGTTATTAATAGAAAGACTCGGGAATCGGAGCTTTTCACAACATTTAGAACAAAATTTGTAGCAAATTTTATTTTTAACAATAATGCGCTCTTGCTCTTTTGCTCTTAGAGGCGTCAATATTGAGGAAAATACAAAAATATGAAAATTTGAATTTGTTGCATTTCAACTTATTAATGGTAAAATCGGGAATCGGAGCTTTTCACAATAAAACTTTTAGAAGAAAAGTTGTAGCAAATTTGATTCTTAACAATATTGCTCTCTTCCTCTTTTGCTCTTAGAGGTGTCAATGTTGAGAAAAGCACAAAAAATATGAAAATTTGAAGAATTTGTTGCTTTTTCAAATTCTTAATGGAATCACCCAGGAATCGAAGCTTTTCACAAAAAAACTTTTAGAACAAAAGCTGTAAAAGCTATCATTCCTAACAATATTGCTCTCTTGCTGTTTTGCTCTTAGATGCGTCAATATTGAGAAAAATACAAAAAATATGAAAATTTGAAGAATTCGTTGTTTTTTCAAGTTATTGATGGAAGCACTCGGGATGCGGAGCATATTACAAAAAACTTTTAAAACCTATGTTGTAGCAAATTTTATTCTTAACAATATTGCTCTGTTGCACTTTTGGTCTGAGATGCGTCAATATTGAGAAAAACACAAAAATATGAACATTTCATGAATTTCTTGCCTTTTCAAGTTATTAATGGTAAAATCGGAAATCGAAGCTTTTCACATAAAAACTTTTAGAACAAAAGTTGTAAAAACATTTATTCTTAACAATATTGCTCTCTTGCACTTTTGCTCTTAGATACGTCAATATCGAGGTAGATACGAAAATATGAAAATTTGATGAATTTGTTGCTTTTTCAAGTGATTAAAGGTAACCCTTAGGAAATGCAGTATGTTACAAAAAAAATTTTAGTACAAAAGTAGTAGCAAATTTTATTGTTAACAATATTGCTCTCTTGCACTTTTGCTCTTAGATGCGTCAATATCGAGGTAGATACGAAAATATGAAAATTTGATGAATTTGTTGCTTTTTCANAAAATTTATGCGACAAATACCGAGCAAAACGCTTCTGGACTTGTTCCAGGCGGTCGATGTAGGTATGATATTGAGGGTTCCAAACGGCAGATGCGTAATTAAGGACAGAGGAAACAAAGGCAGAATATAGTGAACGAATACAAGACAGATCAGAAAAAGGACGGGATATGCGACATATAAACCCAGCATGCGAGAAGCCTTGTTAACAATATAGTCAATATGAGCCGAAAAAGAGAGTTTAGAGTCAAAAATAACTCCAAGGTCTCTCACGCATTCGGATTGTCTGAGGATAGTTGAGCCAAGGGAGTAATCAAAGACGACAGGATAGCGTTTACGAGTAAATGTAATTTTACTGCATTTATCAAGGTTTAAGAACAAGTTATTTCTTAAACAATATTCATGTAACCTGTTTAAATCATCTTGCAGTTTTGCACAGTCGTCGGTAGAACAGATGCGGCTAAATATCTTTCAAATTTGAATGGTGAAAACATGCATGGATATCGTTAATGTAGAGTAGAAAGAAAAGCGGTCCCAGATGACTACCCTGGGCGACGCCAGAAGAAATATCTCTAAATGCACAGCGTTAATTACCTATGCTAACAGCCTGCGATCTGATGGAGATGTAAGATGAAATCCAGGAAATTAACCCATTAATGCCTATATGGTCGTTTACGACCCAACAGTACAATAGCACGTTAATGACCGAAATTATAGTAACATTGATTATAGTAACATAGATACCGTTACTACTAGGCGCTTCATCTCTTCATATAGTTACTAGACTTAAGTTTTGTTGAACACCTGCACTCATCCTGAACTCTGCAGATAATAAAAGTAACATCTTTGTTGACGTTTTGGTTGGTTGTGTTTTTAATTATGCAACATGGCAACGCTTTATGAATGGTAAGTAAGAAATTTTAATTATTTTTGATGTTTTCATTACTAACGGATGTAATACAAAGTCTGTCTATTCTAATTGTCCATAAATGTAGATGATATTACCTTTTTTATTCCAAAGCTATGTCGCATAACCTAGATGGGTCGTTAACGACCCATCGAGCTGTACACGTACATATTTTATTAGTTTTTGGATTTTATAACTTTTATGTTGCTTTAGGAAACGGCCTCTAACAACAGCAGAATTATTAGAAATTATCGAGAATTTGAACGAAGATGATGTTATACCAGATGGAGTGATCATTACCCCTCCAGATGATTTCGATAATACAGATTGCGATTCGGGTGATGAAGAGAGTAACGATCCAGATAATTTGAATCGTCACCAACTAGAAGCTGAAGCCGAACTACAATACGCTGATGAAGTGGAATCAGAGTGGGATGAAGAAGACTGTATACCGCTTTCAACATTCCAAAAGAGGCGCAAGGAAGAGTACGTAAAATGCAAATGGGAAAAAGGGGACCTTAATACCTCCTGGTAAGAAGAAACATTCCGATTTCTGCCTTCCCTTTCCCTGGGACCTAGCAGTCATCCATTCGATTTTTTTTCATTAATGATAACGCCTGAAATTGTAAACATGATAGTAGAACACACCACTACCTATGCGGCACAAAAGAACAAAGAATACTTCAATTTAACAGAAGAAGAACTGTATACTTTTATAGGTATTCTGCTGTTGAGTGGTTACGTACTACTTCCACGCAGACGGATGTACTGGGAACAAAGCGAGGATGTACACAATGTTTTAGTCGCTAATGCGATGAGGAGGAGCAGATTTGAAGAAATTTGTAGTTATTTACATATGAGTAACAACGAAACCATTTCTAAAGATGATAAACTGGGTAAAATTCGCCCCCTTATAAATTGTTTGAATCGACAGTTCCTCAGATACGCACCGATTGAGAATAACATTTCCATCGACGAATCTATGATACCA